ACAAACACTGTTTCTGTCTCAAGCCCCACATTTGCTTGTGTGTGCTTTTCTGGCCAGCCATGGTGCTGTCTGCTACACACCTCCCAGCTGAAACCTCACGTTTTCTCTGTCCTGCTGTCTAGACTTGTGTCTTGCAGACTAAGAGTTTGTCTGAGACTCTTATGAAAGCCAAGACAGATCCTTGACAGAGTAATGTTGGTTGTGGGGCTTGTCTGTAGCTAAGTGAGATGAAACTTGAAGGGGAACTTTCTGCATTCCCATTGACCTACTGGTCAGACAGCCACCGGCTACAACCTTCCTGCTGTAGAGGTTCAGCAGAACCTGTCCTAGGAGGAAGTCTTAATGCGTCTCCGTATGCATGGCAGCTGTTTTCTTTAGGCAGCCAGAGTATTCATGAGTTATTTTATATCATGTCTATATTCCAACCAACTTCTCTCCCCTCTTGCACATACTACTCCCTATTCCCAAAGGACATCCTTCTAAACACCAGCCTGCTTTATCCCTTACTCAGTTTGTCCTCAGCTCCAGGGGTGTTTGTTCTGTTGTGCACCAGGTCTCCTAGGATGGGATCCATGTGTGCCTCCCTGCACTCTCAGTAGCAGGTCACTGTCTGCTGCACTGCTGCTGCTGCCAGCAGTCCTGTACATCAGCCCTGGGCATTGCCTGCTTCAGCCTGCTCTCCTGAATGGCTCTTTCCTCAGAAGTGAAAATCCTGGTCCTGCTTTTGTATGAGATCAAAATATCTGGCTGTGTTCATTATTAGAGGTAAGCCACATTCACAAGAAGAAAAGGTGTATGAAAGCTTTATGTTCTCAGTCTTGATTCTTCCACAGTAAACTGCCTTGTACTATCAATCATCTCCCTGCAGAAGTACAAGACAGTGCCCAGAGCTGTCTCTTGTATTTACTTTGTGAACATGCTAATGACTGTTGGACCAGAATGAAGCAGGTCTTCCCTGAGGAGATAATACTGTTTTGTTCTGAGAGGCAGGTCATAACAGATGGCATGTATGGGCACTTGCTTGTGTGTGCTTCTCTGTTCTTCTTTCCTGTTTTCTTACAGAAGGAAGGTTGAGTCACTGATGTGAATTGATTGTTGTCGGCAAAACAAATATTCTGTGTTTCGAGAGTTTCATAGGAGAAGAAGTGGGAATCATACTCTTCCTTGCTCTGTAGCTCATCTCACAGTCCCTTGACAAGTGGTGGCTTTCTTTCTGGCATGAGACGATGCTCATACTTAATCTTAACAATAGCAATTTGTGATCAATAATAAAAGTCCAGTGGTCCAGTATCATGAAAAGAGCTTGGAGCTCGCTGAGTTTCTCGTTTTGTTTCCTTTGTTGGCTTGTATAGTAGCTGGACAAACAACATTTCCTGATTCTGATTCCGTATCAGATTCTATGTCTCCGTATTTCACAGCTACCATAAAAGCAGGTACAGCAGTGATGGGAGCCATATAAGTACCTAGATAGATAATAAAAATATTGTTGCTGAGCCCTTCAGGGTGTGTTTTGTAAGAGAAGACACTTAATCTAAAGAATAAGGGATTGTTAACTTTTACTATATAGCATATGCAATACTAGAATTTATTAGCCTGTTGCTCAATACAGTAACTGATGTGCTGTTTAAGAGGGTTTTTTCTTAAAACCACGAGATAAGTTTCCAAACTTCCTCCCACAGTTTTTCTGGTTGTAACCTATGAATGCTGGCAATACTAAATGAAAGTGCAGTAAATTAAACACCAGTATACATACATAGCACACAGGGGGAACATGACTCATGTGTGTCCTTGAGAAGATTTGGGTTTTCCCTGGATCAATAATGGATTGATTTCTAGTTCAGCTCCAGTAATGTGACTGCATAGAGTTGACACTCTGAACTTCCTGCTTTTGAGAGTATGCATGAGAGCTGGTCACGGTGGCACTCTTCATGATGTCTGTAACAAATAGTTAACAAACCACTGTTGTGCAGATGTCCAAAGCTGTCCCCAGCAAAATAACCTGCTTGAAGGATTAAAACAACCCCTTTAGTGCCTACATAGCTCAAGTGAGGTAGACATCATGCACTGCCAGGTCTAGCTGCTGCTGTGGGGCGCTCACTGCAGTGTGTGCAGTGGTGGGGGGCAACAAACAGAAGGAAAAACAACATGAAGGAAAAAAGGTGGTGTTACCACCAAGACGATTCAGCAGTCAGGGAGCTGTGCATTCATCACTTGCTGTATACAACAGTCAGTAGTAGAAAGTATTGCCAACCTGTATGTCATCCAACGTATTTCTGTATTTTTGCATTTGCATTCAGTTTCTTTTTTAAACTGAGTATGAAGTGCCATGTTTAGCCCATAGCTGTTTCCAGCGCATAGGGAGGGAAGAGTGCTTTTCTTTACCTTTCTGCCTTTTGAGGGAAAAGCAATCATTCTTCACACAAAAACTGCACCAGTGGCAGCTTTTAAAGACTTCCCTTCTTTATATCTGAATTTAGTTTTTAAAAATTCTGAAGTGCCAGCTTTTTCTCTGTAAAAGCTCCTTATCCCTCAGTTGCAAGAACTTCAAACAGTTTGCTGACAGCATCTAGGGAGCCCCAGCTGAAATAACTCCAGTTGGTTATAGCTTCTCTTGGCAAGTAGGGTGATTAAGAGCAGAATCCTATGGTGATGGAGATCATTACGTTGAAGACTCTCTCATCTGTGGATCTCTACACATCTTCAGGCATGCTCACCGCTTTCCACATTTCTCTGCCTTGCAGTGGGCATACACTGCCACTGTGCAGATCCATCTGCTGGAGCAGCCTGTTCCTCTGTGCTTTCTTGACACTGAACCTTGGCTCAGCCAAGAGGCAACCTGTGCTCAGCGTGGCTGACACTTGTCTCGTATTGCTTCATGCTGGTCTGCAAAGCCAAACTGGTTACTTCACCCATTTCAGTGTCTGACATTAATACATTCCTCCTCCATGCCTGAAGTGTAATAGAGAAGCAGAGTTCATTTATGCTTTGTTAAGTCTGCATGACAGGCAGCGATATGCATTTTAATAGTTTTCATCTGGATATGTGCAGCACAGAGGCACAGTGTATTGATTTTTCTGTTTATTTTCCCATCTCTGAAGGAATAAATGTTTTTTGCTCAGCAGCTGTAGGAGCATAACCTGAGGCTCACCAGTATTTGTCTTTACGGTTGACACTTCCAACTTCCACTTACCTGTTGCATATTTTGGGGACCTCCCTTTACATGGTACTTGGAGACATAAAATTAAGATACAGATTGATACCAGCTCCCTGTTTGCTAGGATCTGAAAGGAGAAAGCCACTGCAGGGACAAGGGTCCATGGCAGTCAGGAAGCTGATCCCTGTGACTGTAGGTGTATGGCATGCAATGTTTGAGTGCCTTTGGGAATGTGGGCCCTGGTGTCTGTGTAAATGGTCTGCTGCAATACCAGTACCAGGGTCTATGGCATCTCTGGCCATTCATGCCAGACTTCTTAGATTGGATATAAGGAGGAAATTCTTTCCTGTTAGGGTGGTGAGGCACTGGAATAGGTTGCCCAGGGAGGCTGTGAATGCTCCATCCCTGGCAGTGTTCAAGGCCAGGCTGGACGAGGACTTGGGTGATACGGTTTAGAGCGAGGTGTCCCTGCCCATGGCAGGGGGGGTTGGAACTTGATGATCTTAAGGTCCTTTCCAACCCTAACTATTCTATGATTCTATTCTATGATTCTGCTGGAATAAGCAGAGGCTACATAGATCAGTAGATCTGAGCAAGGAATTTTTTACTGAGGGCTTCCAGAGCCAGCTTTTGGTTGCAGAACTGCACACATTAGAAGAGAGCAGGGCCTGAGCTGACATAAAACAATTTCAAGCAGCATTGAAATGCTGTGATCCTTCTGCATCTTACCATCCTTTCAGTGGCTCAACACTGCATTCATGCACAGGTAGTGAGTATGAAACAAGCACGGTGGGCTCATAGCAAGCTGTTTGTCTCCTTTTTAACATAGTGCAAGCACTGTGTGCCTAAAGAAATACAAACTCTTTTCTAACAACTGGCTCAGCTCAAAAATGCTGTTTGTATGAATCCCTATTTCAGCAACCATATTTTCACCTGGCTCAGGAGGAAGGCTGCTTTACCACTGCAGGTGGAAACAACATAGGCAGCTGCACAAACCTCATGAAACTTTTACTTAGTAGGCAGACCAAGGCTATCCTGAACACAGGAAATGTTGTTTTAAAGGTGTAAAAACATGTCTTCAGGTTTTTGTCCTCAAGCTGATAGGTTAGGCTGGGCATACCTGATGGTTTCCAGCTGGCTCCAAGAACCCCTGCAAACCTCTAGCATGCTTCTTGCGAGCTTTGCTTTAAACCTGAAGGTAACGAGCACCTGCAGCCTTTGGGGTTTTTAACAGCTGCGGCTTGCTGGGCTTCTCTTTCTTTCAACTTGCAGGTGCTCTTTTCCTTTCCTTGCCCTCCCTTTTCATGTGCTCTGTGATTTAAAGGAACTGGTCATGAGAAAAGCTGGGTGGAGGACCCCATCAGCATTCTTGACAGTACCCTCTCTGGGGCAGTACGTGGGGAAAACCTTTGTGAAGCCCTTTAGCCCTCTCAGAAGGTAAAGAGCACCAAATCTCACCTTTGTCTTCCTCCACCCTACACATGCCATGGAGTCGTTGGTACAAAGGTGGGCCCATGAGCAAAACCTCCTTCCCTTTCCCCCCCTCTTTGCTGGCAGCCCTAGGCACAGACATCCCCAGGCACAGATGTGACAGTGATGCCACAGGGGAAATCTCTGCACTGGCAGAAGTTGGTTCAGCAGTGGCTTTCCTTGCCAAGCCCCCAAGCGTGCCAGTCACTGGTAGAAGCTAGGATTTGATTTGATTTTCCTCTTTTTTTGCCAACTCACCATATGAGATGGTGGTACTTTTTGTGATATTTTAGTAGTTAACAAACATTATGTGCATGCTGTGAGAAAAATCCTACGCTGAAACATGGTAATGTGTAACGTATGCCTGACTTTACAGCACCTTTTAAACTACTTTTTTAAGCAGCCTGTGGAACAGAGTGTAACAGAGGAAGATGGGACAAGATGAGAAAAAAAGCAACAGAGAGGGAAATATTGGAGTTTGTGGCTATCAGACAAAAGAGCAAAAAGGTAGGACTGCATTTGTGTGGTTGTTAGTCTTTCACCCATTCTCAACGGCTGTAAGGTAGGCACTGGCTCAGTTTGTCCCAGTGTCCATATGCTATCTTGGACGCTCACTTTCTAAAGGTAGAAGGGAACATTAGAAAGCTACAGAAGACCATGGGGATGGGAGCATGATTAAGGCAGATGTTAGCATGCTTGTACTCCACATGCAGGCTCGGCTTGTACTCAACAGGCTTGGCTCTAGGCAAGCTAGTGAAGGGCTGTACCACTCTGTATGTGAGTTGGCCCTCACAACCCCTTTTCCCCCCTGCAAAGGGTCACTGGCTCTCTGGGACAAGCCCAATTTCACCATCACCTCACATACAAACACATGAAATAGAGCGAACCCTCTATTTATTTGCTGAAGCAGCTACCTGCTTAGTGTTTAAAACTGTGGTTTCATTTCCTAATGGTATATGGCAGCATCATAACCTTTAACAGCCCATGAATCAGAAGTTGTCAGCTTTCCCCTCCTGCCATAAGCGTTGTGATTCTTGCCGTGTACTTCAGTTCCTTGCGGTTAGCTGAAGCTTGCTTGCACATTTTTCCGGTTTAGAACAGACCATCATTTCCTGTGCTCTTTAACAACAGAGGAATGCCAGCCAGGCAGCCTTTCCATGCAGCTCCTTGCCCCTGTGCACCAAGGGTGCTCTCAGTAAACAAGGCCGCTGCCTCTCCTTGTATCGAAGCAGGCTGCAATGAGACTCCACTTTGTGCCTTTCTCCTGGCTGACTGAGAGATGAGGAGGCTGGAGGGCAAAGCTGCCCTGAAAATGTCAAAAACTAAACCAAATCCCAAACAACCAAAAAGAACCCCATAACTTGTATACACTTCTGTGAAAAATTTTCCTATTTTTGTTATTATTTCAGCTTGTAGTTCGCCATGGGAATGTTTCCAAAGAAACCAGTGCTCTGGGAAACCTTTTGTTTTCCACAAAGGCTGTTATTCAAAAGCAATTAACATAAAACCATTAAAATTGTCTGACTTCAGAGACAGAAGAATGGAGGAAGGAAATGTGAGAGCGTGTGTGTGTGTGCGTGCACACATGAGGGAATACAGCAGTCTGGGGTAAGGGAAGAGGCAGAAGGGGGACACCAGAGGCTCATGTCAACGTGTGGATGGGCACAGTTATGAGGGAGAGTTGGGATGGGGAGACCACACACATGGGGGATGCAGGAGCAGGGAGGACAGCTTGGGGCTGCTGTGACCTTGGAGGGTAGGACACTCCAAGGAGAGGTGTGTGGCCTGGGGCAGCTGGACCACCAGGACTGAGGGCAGAGATGCCCAAAGCATCTCTCTGTTCTTTAGGCCAGGTATGAAGTTTGTGTTGTGTGTTTTGGCAGCTCTGTTGTGATGAGGTGAAGCTGTGTTTCAAAACCAGGACTGTGTTCTGGCAGCCCAGGGCAATGCTTCTGAATTGTCTTGCTTCCCACATTAATGCTGGGCAAAGGTAGAGGCAGCTACAGTGATGGTGGTTTTACATAGATATGATGGAAGTTTTCTCCACCATTTCTCCAGTGGGTTTTGAACCAGCTGGCTGATTCCACTCTCACTTCAGAGGGCAAAGGGTCACTAGATACTAAGGTTCTGTCTAGTTGTGTGTAAATGGAGGTCGACCAGAGGGAGTTTCCAGCTGCCCCGAGGCAGACCTCTCTGCCCTTCTCAGAAAAGCAGAGCTCTTTTAAAGCCTGAACTGCACCATATGCAGCCTGCTTTATTTTGCAAGAGGAATATAACAGCTATAAATTCATAGATTATCTCTTCAGGTCTTTTGACCTTTCTTTCTGTCTTTCCTCTCCCAGTTTTCCCTCATTTCTTACCCTGCTGGTGTTCAGACACATCACTCTGAGCCAGCCAGGAATGTGGGATAGAGCTCATTCCTCCTCAGGAAGGATGTAGGTGACTTGGGAGGCAGCCAGAGGTAACGTTGCAGGCAGGAGACCTGTGGAAAGGAGAAGTGGCAGTAAATACTGTGAAGGCTGAGATCACCAGGGGTGGGAAAGGTGAACTGGAGTTGCTGGGGTGGAAGGGAGAGATGCAGAAGTTGATTAAAGACAGACAGGATTCCTGAGATCATCAACACTTTGAAGAACTTACCCATGTCCCAGAGGCAGGTTTGAAAGAGAAGTCTACAAAGACCCTTGCTTATATAAAAGTCTGAAATGTGAAAACTTGTTCTAACCTAGAAAGTGGTCTCACACTCTGAAAAAACCAGAGAAATGGGGCAAGAAGCATGGCATAAAAAGGCAAAAGGTGCATGAACAGCAGGGCTGGCAGAGCTGAAAGTGATTCTGTAAAGGAGTGCGGTGGCCAGTGTCATGACAGGAGGTGTCTTGGACTGTCCTACTGCAGAAGGAAGCTGTTCTGGGGCAGTGCTCCTGACTGGTGATTTCCCTGCAAGCCTTTGCTTTCACTCAAAGTGCATTATAAACTTATAATAGTTCATCAGTAGCCAGTACCACAGGGTCCCCCCACCTCCATCCTTCTGCCTTGTTTCAAGATCAAATTTTAATTGAAACAAGATGTGGCAGACAGGATGAGATTTTATAAATAGGTGCTAAAATGTCATCTTAAGGGGAATGTATGTGACCCAGTTCAAATCCAGTATGAAGAAAAAAAGTGTTAAACACATAACCCCATTACAGAGAGGAAGGTCTCCTTGTAAATTGTTTTATTCTTTGGCAGGTATTTATTTAGGCTGGTTCAAGCAAATGTTAACGTATTTTCTGCTTTGGTGCCCAGTAAATGTATTTTTCTAATGGTTTCCATTCCATGTCACATTCTGTATTGTCACTGAATTTGTGGCACAGATAATGTGCACTCTTACCGGTTTCTTCTTCACTCATAATTTTTAAAGAGTTTAATCCATGTATTCTATTACCTGGTATGCAGAAGGGATTTTATTTGGGTTTTTAACCAAATCCTCATTTAAAATGTGTAACTTTTAATGATATAATATTCTAGGACAACCATACCTTTCATCTGAGAAACCATTTAGAATATTGTAGAGGTTGTGATGGGGGGTTTGAAACCCACATAGGGTGTTTAAACTTCCAGTTGCATTTATGCAACACAGTATTTAAGTCACCTGAGCCCCCCTTGAAGATTACCTGTATAAGTAGCAGAGGCAGACAGGATTTAGCATTTCACATTCCACATTGTCTCTTTCCAACACATGAAGTGCTCTCAAACAGCTGGTTACGTAAGTCAAGGTTTGGCGAGGTTATGTATTTCAGTATTTGCCTCTCTGCACTGCATATTTTCTCCTTTGTTTCTTGTTTGCCTTGCCTTCTGAGAGGTTGCGTGTATTATCCTTGCTGCTGAAGTTCTGCAGCAGCTTTGAGGAGACTTTATACTAGAGGTGTAAATCTGTTTCCACTGTAAAAAATATAAAGCTAAGAGTGGCTAAAATAAGAGCCCCATATAATTTTTTAAGTAAGTTCTGCATCTTAAATACGTTAAACATCCATACTCACTGAGCTTGACACAGTATCGCTATAGTCAGCACTGAGAGCAAACAACCATTTAAAGACCAGTAATAACAGTAATGTCTTTCTAGGTGTTCTATTAAAATGAATCCTCCTTATCTCTTCTGTGAAGTTAAAGGATACTTGATGCCATACAGCAGTGCTAGCTGCTTATGCACATGCTGCAGACCTTTTCAAATACTTTGAAACCTGTATCTTTATGAAAGCCAAGTACTTATATTACATCAGAGTTAAGAAACAACGCATTCAATGGTCATAAATGCAGAGTGAAGGCATTAGCATTCAAAATATAGGTGCCTTTTTTCTTTCTTTCTAAGTGGTGGATTTAGACTAATGGAAGCTGTGAATTTAAACATCCTAGGCAGTCTCTAGCATGAAAAGTCACACAACTTGTATTACAAAATTCAGTATAAAGTTACCTCAAGCCACAGATGGCAAGCAGTTTGTTTTGATAAGGTTTTTGGGACAGGCTGACAGTTTAGTTCATTGACATTGCTGTTGCTCGAATTTGGGCATTAATCTTGCTATCTAATAGATGCATCTTAAAATGTGTTTCAAAATTTGTTAGCCTGAGTACCAGTGTGTACAAAAGCAGGGTAAGGTTGTGGTGGTGAAGGAGAAAAAGAGAGAGGTCCTCTACCTAAAAGCATGTGGTAGTTCTCCTCTCCCTTGAGCATTCAACACATGTTCTTCAGCAGCAAAATGCCAAGGACAGAAACCTCAGGAGACACGGGGAACAGGACCTCTGTCTTTCTCACCAGTTTGGAGATGTCTCTCTGGACACAACATCAACATTCAATTCCTTCCGTCTCCTCATAGTTCTGTGTGGCAGCAAAAAGTGAGCAATAGAGGAGGACTTTTAGCTATCTGAGGCCTGAAGTTCCCAGGAACCTAGAAGATCCACAGGCTCCCAGGTGATCTCGTGCCCTGTACACATCAGGGGCATTGTACTTAGCCAGCTGCACTATGATATAAAGCAGGCATGACCCCTTCACAGAACCACTAAATATGTGAAATAATATGAGGTACATGCTGTACAAAAGAAAGTATCTCTGTGAACCTTCAAGTCAGCATTTAGGTTTGAAAGCAGTAAACTGAGCCAAACTGAGACCCGTCTGCACCTTTTGCAACAGAAAAATCAAAGCATACATTCACAAGGCAGGACTTGGAGTAGTTGGCCTGAGTAAAATACCATCCAGACAGGTATATCTGCAAGTGAAGAAAGAAAGTGGGTAATTCAAAGTCTGGACTGCACATGTACAGCCTTATATGTGGTACTTTCTTTTGCAAGAGGAGACAAGATTGCTGAATTTTCTAATTTTGCTTCTCTCCCTATATCCCCTTTCAATGCCTTTTTGATCATTTTCAGATAGTCCTGGCCTCTTTAAGAATCTGGTTAGCGAATAGAAACCATATTGTTTAACATGGGTGACCAGTCACACAGTGTATTTCAATCCTGAACAAAAATGCTTGGAGGTATTGGTACCATTAACAACCCATAGGCAAAAATTGCTTTTATTGAACCTATTCATGACATGGTTATAAGAAAAGGCTGTAAAAAATGTTATCCATTTGTGGTCAGAAGAAGTATCAAGTACACAGATTACTCTTGCTGAATACTTCAGTTCCTGTATATGGCAGTGAATTTGCTTTATCTCCAGAAGAGCATTGCAAACGAAAGCTTTAGCAAACGAACTGCGCGTTACTGGGCTTTCTGTCCTTATGCCACAGTCCTGCTTCCAGTCCCAGATTCACAATGCCTATCAAGAAATATATTCCCTTCAGGCAGCAGAAAATGTAAACATATCCTAATAGCAGAAGCCAGCTTAGCAGCTGAGCTATTTGGGATGAAAGCGTCATGAGACAGCTGAAGTTCCAGCAGGATTTGGCTTGGGGGTCATGTGGGAAGTCTTTCCACTGCCAGGCCAGTGATGAAAAAGAGAGGGGGTGAGGGGACCACAAGCTCCAAGTTGTGAATCACCATTTTTGATGGCCAAGGATTCTGAAGACAGAAAGTGGAGGGAAGTGACCACTGCAGCCTCACCTACCCTACTTCCCACTAGGAACAACTGCGCTTTTTGTTTCCCTCTCTGGGATACAATTTTTCATCAGAGCATCTCCCTCCTGCATCCTAATCAAACAGTGCTGTCACTGCAGAGTCAGTGTTCAGAGTGACATCTGACATCCTGGACAAGTCAGCCAGTGGATATTTTGCCTAGGTCCTGGTGGTAGAGTTCTCCATCTGATTTTATCCAGGATAAAATGATAAATAGCAACAAGACATGTAGACTGCTCAGAAGAAGAAGAAGGACCCACTATCATTGAGAGAGAGCTTGACTTGGATTTTCTTTTTCCCTCAAATACATTTTAAATGTTGACTCTTGCTCCTGCTGGAGGAAAATACTACCAGGTAAAAGACAGCAGGAAACACATTAAAATGGGTATTACACAGAAAATCACAGGATCATAGAATAGTTTGGTTTGGAAGGGAGCTTCAAAGATCATCTGGTGTAACCCTCCTGCAGTGAGCAGGGACATTTTCAACTAGATCAGGTTGCCCAGAACCACATCCAGCCTGGCCTTGAGTGTCTCCAGGGATGGTGCCTCCACCACCTCTCTGGACAACAAGAGATGAAAAAAACAGCTGAGGAAGAGGAATTTAACATCAAAAATGCATGCATCCTGAGACGTCCCTCATCCTAGCAAGTACATCTTTCAGACACCTACTTCAAAAGCAGCTTCCTACCACAGAGAATGGGTACCCATCCAGCTCTGCACCAGACCAAATGTCCCACATCTGAATTTGGCTGGGAGTGGGATTTTGGACAAGTATGCAGTGGAAACGCGTATCAGCCACAAACTAGCTTCCAAGTTTGGATTGTAATTTTTCCCAAATGCAGTACAGAAGTGAGATCGTGCTTCTCCCTATTATTGGGGCCTGGGCTGATTTAACAAGAAACACCAGGGAGCTGCACAGGTACTCATGCAGTGAACTTTATTATAGTTTAATTCCAGGGAGAGCCCTGCTTTTCACCCTGCTTCCTGGTCCCTAGGGAAACAACCGAGGAAAGCAGGGCCCTTTGCAGCAGGCTTGACCCTGTGTCGCAATAGATGGAGCCACCTGTGTCTGTGTCACCGTGCCTGTGTCCAAGTCAAACAGCTCACTTCCTGGAGTCCCCGGCCGGAGGGAATGTCGCGGTGCGTCACGTCTTGGAGCGGAAAGCGGATAGCACTGCAGAGAGCACACGCTGTGACCGGCTTAGATGTAGGCATCGCTCCCGTGAGCTAATGGCAGCAGATGGCTTGTTCCTGTGCTTGATGGCAGGAGGCACGGAAGAGGGGGAAGGGTGGCAGTTTTTCCCTGGAAACCTATCTGTCTGGCTGATATCAAGCCCAGCATCTGTGTGCCCTGGGAAGTTCAGATAGATGTGTTACACCACTAGTTCAGCTCCTGATCTCCCCAGCTGCTGGGCTTAGGGTGGGTTTAGAGGTCAGTCCTGAGCAAGCCTATTGCAGAGGTTAGTTATTTTCTCAGCTCTTCCCCACATGCTGCTGAGGCACCAAAGCTCTGGTTCTTTTCTCAGAAACTAAACTAAAGCTTTGCTCCAGTAAAACTTGGCCACCATGGAAAAAGGTCTAACAATATAATGGTTAATATAATAAATGGATTTGCTCTATAGAAATAAGTTGCAGATTGGATGATAGCCACATTTCTTTTTATTTCTCACTCTTAGCAGTGCACACACATTTCTTCTGTGGTAGGGTTCCCATCATTACAG